TTGCGGTTGGTTTCCACGCGCTGATGACCTTCCCCCTTGCCGAACTGGTGTGCATTTCCCCATTTTCCCCTTTTCCTTCCGCCCTCCGTCTCCCCGAAGCAAGGCTAAGGCTATGAGCAAGTACTCTCAAAATCGTCAAGGAGGAAACAATTTCTCATGCCGCGTGACTGTGTTGATTTTCACCATTTTGGCTATTGGCTGCGCTGCGTGTGCGAACATCTTTCCTGTGTTCAAGAAGGAGAGCAACACTAAGAAGGTAAAGCAGACACTGTGGTACAGCCAGACGACCGTTTCAGGTGGCGTTGGTACCAAGGTTGATGTGAGTGAGAGTTTGTGCGGGCAGTACAAGCTATTTTTTCAGGTATCAGAGGGCGCGGCTGTGGCTGCGGCAGGCATTGGCCTCGTCGTTTTGGGTCTTGCTATCGCCCAGCTCATTCTGGAAGAAAAGAGCTCCCGCTTCACTTGCTGCGCAGCCTCGCTGATTTCCCTTGCGTTCGCTGCTTGCGGAGCATGCGTGGCGCTTATTGTGTATGGGTACATGAGGGGTTACTGCCAGAGCGACGCCGTGCTATCCCCGCAGTACGGTCCCTTTAAGGATCAGGGCTACAAGTTTTCCGAGGCCTTCTACCTCATTTGCGCCGCCTGCGGTCTTTTTCTGCTTTCCAGCTTTTTCCAGTGCTGTGCTTAGAGAAGTAAAGAGCGGCAGCGCCGCACGCGACCCATGGATAGCGCAGGAGGGAAGTGCTGTGTGGCGAACGTATTGTTTGCGCACTGATTTGCCACCTGGTTTTCTTTGGAAGCATACGGAAAAGGAGTGTCCTTATTTTTGTTGCTGTTGCTTTTAGTGGTGTTAGCATCTTCAGTTTTATGTTTTCTTCTCCTCTGAGAATTTTTGCTTTGCGTGTGCTCGGCAATACCTTTGCCGGAATGCCACCATCAGCGTGGCTTGTGTGAGTAGCCATTCGCTGCAATTGTTTGTCGTATGTTATTGCTTTTTGTGCGACGACAAACTGGTGGTTGGTTTAGTGCGAGTGCGCTGCTCTGTTTGCCGTTGTCGCTGCCCACCCCTGTTTGGCGTGCGCACGTGCGTCCCGGTGATTTGTTGCGCGTGTGTATGGTGCCTGTGTGCGGGGAAGTGACGGTCTGCTGCACCAGTTGTGCTGTGCTCAGCGTGCGAGGGGCACGGGCGCACGTAGCTGGTGTGATATTTGCCTCTTTTTGCTCTGTGCGTGTTGTTGTGGGTTGCTTCTGGGGAAGGAAGGGAGATGTCCGACCGTGACGGGGATGACGACCGGCTGAGTCTGAACTTCGGCGAGGAACAGGAGGAGAGCACCCTGCGCAGTGATGACGAACAGAGCGAGGGCGATGGCGCGGACGTTGTCCTGTCCGGGCGGGCGGCGAGTGGCACTGCCGTAAGACGCGACGGCAAGGACCGTGTGACTGCGCCGGTGCTGACAAAATACGAGCGGGCCCGCATCCTTGGCACACGGGCGCTGCAGATCAGCATGAACGCGCCGGTGCTGGTGGCCTTGGAGGGCGAGACGGATCCGCTCATCATCGCCCAAAAGGAGCTTCGCGAGGGTGTCATACCGCTCATCGTACGGCGGGTGCTTCCGGACAACACGTATGAGGACTGGCGAATATGCGAACTGGACATCGACTTTGACCGTCCCGCTGACGAGCGATACACAAACATCTGAAGGGCAAGAGCGTGCTGGAGCGGGTGCTTTTCCCTTGTTGTCCTGTCACGCACAGAGGTGCGCGCTCAGCTGTCAGTGTTTCCACGCGCTGATGACCCTTCCCCCTTGCCGAACTGGTGTGCATTTCCCCATTTTCCCCTTTTCCTTCCGCCCTCCGTCTCCCCGAAGCAAGGCTAAGGCAAGAAGCAAGCTCTCTCAAAATCGTCAAGGAGGAAACATGTGTTCTTTCTGCCGTGTAATCGTGTTGGTTCTCGCCATGCTGGCCACCGCCTGCGCTGTGTGTGCGAACATCTTTCCTGTGTTCAAGAAGGGGAACGACGCTGCGACGGTAAAGCAGACACTGTGGTACAACCAGACGACCGTTTCAGGTGGCGTTGGTACCAAGGTTGATGTGAGTGAGAGTTTGTGCGGGCAGTACAAGCTATTTTTTCAGGTATCAGAGGGCGCGGCTGTGGCTGCGGCAGGAATTGGCCTCGTCGTCGTGTTATTTGTGATTATTCAGATGATTTTTCAGAGAATTTGTTGCTGCTTGGGGTGTGTCACGTCCTTGTTGATTTCCATTGCGTTTGTCGCGTGTGTGGTGTGTCTGGCGCTTATTGTGTATGGGTACATGAGGGGTTACTGCCAGAGCGACGCCGTGTTATCCTCGCAGTACGGTCCCTTTAAGGATCAGGGCTACAAGTTTTCCGAGGCCTTCTACCTCATTTGCGTCGCCTGTGTTTTCTTTTTTGTTTCCAGTTTTTTCCAGTGCTGTGCTTAGAGAAGTAAAAAGAAAAAAAAATACGTTTGTAACAACAAACGTCGGTACCTTTTGGTGCCGATTAATATACGCATATATATTTTCTATTTTTCAGTATTTGAGACCTCAGTGAGGTGTAACCTGTAAATGATGACGTGCGTCAGGAGGAGTTACTTCTTCCTTGCGGTTGTGTTTCCACGCGCTGATGACCTTCCCCCTTGCCGAACTGGTGTGCATTTCCCCATTTTCCCCTTTTCCTTCCGCCCTCCGTCTCCCCGAAGCAAGGCTAAGGCTATGAGCAAGTACTCTCAAAATCGTCAAGGAGGAAACAATTTCTCATGCCGCGTGACTGTGTTGATTTTCACCATTTTGGCTATTGGCTGCGCTGCGTGTGCGAACATCTTTCCTGTGTTCAAGAAGGAGAGCAACACTAAGAAGGTAAAGCAGACACTGTGGTACAGCCAGACGACCGTTTCAGGTGGCGTTGGTACCAAGGTTGATGTGAGTGAGAGTTTGTGCGGGCAGTACAAGCTATTTTTTCAGGTATCAGAGGGCGCGGCTGTGGCTGCGGCAGGCATTGGCCTCGTCGTTTTGGGTCTTGCTATCGCCCAGCTCATTCTGGAAGAAAAGAGCTCCCGCTTCACTTGCTGCGCAGCCTCGCTGATTTCCCTTGCGTTCGCTGCTTGCGGAGCATGCGTGGCGCTTATTGTGTATGGGTACATGAGGGGTTACTGCCAGAGCGACGCCGTGCTATCCCCGCAGTACGGTCCCTTTAAGGATCAGGGCTACAAGTTTTCCGAGGCCTTCTACCTCATTTGCGCCGCCTGCGGTCTTTTTCTGCTTTCCAGCTTTTTCCAGTGCTGTGCTTAGAGAAGTAAAGAGCGGCAGCGCCGCACGCGACCCATGGATAGCGCAGGAGGGAAGTGCTGTGTGGCGAACGTATTGTTTGCGCACTGATTTGCCACCTGGTTTTCTTTGGAAGCATACGGAAAAGGAGTGTCCTTATTTTTGTTGCTGTTGCTTTTAGTGGTGTTAGCATCTTCAGTTTTATGTTTTCTTCTCCTCTGAGAATTTTTGCTTTGCGTGTGCTCGGCAATACCTTTGCCGGAATGCCACCATCAGCGTGGCTTGTGTGAGTAGCCATTCGCTGCAATTGTTTGTCGTATGTTATTGCTTTTTGTGCGACGACAAACTGGTGGTTGGTTTAGTGCGAGTGCGCTGCTCTGTTTGCCGTTGTCGCTGCCCACCCCTGTTTGGCGTGCGCACGTGCGTCCCGGTGATTTGTTGCGCGTGTGTATGGTGCCTGTGTGCGGGGAAGTGACGGTCTGCTGCACCAGTTGTGCTGTGCTCAGCGTGCGAGGGGCACGGGCGCACGTAGCTGGTGTGATATTTGCCTCTTTTTGCTCTGTGCGTGTTGTTGTGGGTTGCTTCTGGGGAAGGAAGGGAGATGTCCGACCGTGACGGGGATGACGACCGGCTGAGTCTGAACTTCGGCGAGGAACAGGAGGAGAGCACCCTGCGCAGTGATGACGAACAGAGCGAGGGCGATGGCGCGGACGTTGTCCTGTCCGGGCGGGCGGCGAGTGGCACTGCCGTAAGACGCGACGGCAAGGACCGTGTGACTGCGCCGGTGCTGACAAAATACGAGCGGGCCCGCATCCTTGGCACACGGGCGCTGCAGATCAGCATGAACGCGCCGGTGCTGGTGGCCTTGGAGGGCGAGACGGATCCGCTCATCATCGCCCAAAAGGAGCTTCGCGAGGGTGTCATACCGCTCATCGTACGGCGGGTGCTTCCGGACAACACGTATGAGGACTGGCGAATATGCGAACTGGACATCGACTTTGACCGTCCCGCTGACGAGCGATACACAAACATCTGAAGGGCAAGAGCGTGCTGGAGCGGGTGCTTTTCCCTTGTTGTCCTGTCACGCACAGAGGTGCGCGCTCAGCTGTCAGTGTTTCCACGCGCTGATGACCCTTCCCCCTTGCCGAACTGGTGTGCATTTCCCCATTTTCCCCTTTTCCTTCCGCCCTCCGTCTCCCCGAAGCAAGGCTAAGGCAAGAAGCAAGCTCTCTCAAAATCGTCAAGGAGGAAACATGTGTTCTTTCTGCCGTGTAATCGTGTTGGTTCTCGCCATGCTGGCCACCGCCTGCGCTGTGTGTGCGAACATCTTTCCTGTGTTCAAGAAGGGGAACGACGCTGCGACGGTAAAGCAGACACTGTGGTACAACCAGACGACCGTTTCAGGTGGCGTTGGTACCAAGGTTGATGTGAGTGAGAGTTTGTGCGGGCAGTACAAGCTATTTTTTCAGGTATCAGAGGGCGCGGCTGTGGCTGCGGCAGGAATTGGCCTCGTCGTCGTGTTATTTGTGATTATTCAGATGATTTTTCAGAGAATTTGTTGCTGCTTGGGGTGTGTCACGTCCTTGTTGATTTCCATTGCGTTTGTCGCGTGTGTGGTGTGTCTGGCGCTTATTGTGTATGGGTACATGAGGGGTTACTGCCAGAGCGACGCCGTGTTATCCTCGCAGTACGGTCCCTTTAAGGATCAGGGCTACAAGTTTTCCGAGGCCTTCTACCTCATTTGCGCCGCCTGTGTTTTCTTTTTTGTTTCCAGTTTTTTCCAGTGCTGTGCTTAGAGAAGTAAAAAGAAAAAAAAATACGTTTGTAACAACAAACGTCGGTATCTTTTGGTGCCGATTAATATACGCATATATATTTTCTATTTTTCAGTATTTGAGACCTCAGTGAGGTGTAACCTGTAAATGATGACGTGCGTCAGGAGGAGTTACTTCTTCCTTGCGGTTGTGTTTCCACGCGCTGATGACCTTCCCCCTTGCCGAACTGGTGTGCATTTCCCCATTTTCCCCTTTTCCTTCCGCCCTCCGTCTTCCCGAAGCAAGGCTAAGGCAAGAAACAAGCTCTCTCACTATCTCCAGTAAGGGATAATGTATTCTCGCTGCCGTGTAATCGTGTTGATTCTCACGGTGCTGGCCATTGTGTGCGTCTTTTTTTCTCATATCTTTCCTGTGTTAATTAAGAAGAACGAATTTCTTAAAACGGTGTATACACTGTGGTACGCGCAATCGACTTTGCCGGATGGCAGCAGTATCAGACGTGCTGTTGCTGGAAGCTCTTGCGGTCAGTACAGGACTTTTTTTCAAGCGGCTGAGGCTTTCTCTGTTCTTTCAATTGGTATTGGCCTCGTCATTGCGGTGTTTTGCTTTTTTCAGTTTCTTTGCGTGAAAGTACGTTTTTTTTTTTGGTTTATTTGGTGCTTGATGTTTCTTGCGTTTCTTTTCTGTGGAGTGTGTGTGGCGGTTATTGTGTATGGGTACATGAAGGGTTTTTGCCAGGGTGGCGGCCCGATCTCTCTTAAGTTCGCACCTTTTAAGGATCAGGGCTTCGATTTTGGGGTTTCTTTCTATTTCATTTGCATTGCCTGTGGTCTTTTTCTTCTTTCCAGTTTTTTTGAGTGCTTTGCATAAGACATCTCTAGGAATTTTAGTGCGGAGGTCTGTGTTATGCTGTCGAATGTGTTTTTTTTTTTTTCTTATTTTCGTTGAAGAATTGCGAATAATAGTGGTTTGTTGTGCGGTGTAAGAAGAACGTTTTTTTTTTTTTTTTTGGTTAATTATTCGCTTTGGTGTTTTCCATGTAGTTTTGGGTTGAATTATGTATCCGCAGATGGTTTCTTCATTTTTTTTTTTCTTATTTATCCGTCTTGCTATTGTGCTTTTTGTGCCACCTGCATGGACCTGTTGTTATTGTTTTGTTATTGCGCGTCCCTGTTGGATTTTGTTGTGGCGTTGCAGATTTTGCCAGGTTTCTCTTTTTTTGCTGTTTGCTGGATGCTCATTTTTTGTGTTGCATCCCATTTTTTTTCCTTTTTTTTTTTGGCGTGCCGCTGGGGATTTCCCCGCAGGCTTGCAGGGTCGTGTGCGGCGAAAGGGACGGGCTGCGGTGGCGGCGGGGAGGAGAGAGTGGGCGGGGCCGTGGAAGAAACGTGCGCCGCCGGTGCGATGTCTCTTCGAGACGACATTGAGGTCCTGACGGCGGCCCTCCATCGTTTCTCCCGATTGCAGGACTGCGGCAGCAGCAGCGATGCAAGAGGAAAGGACGTGGGACGACACCCGGACCGCGACGTCGCACTTGCACCTCAATTATCGGATGTTGACATCTCTGCCATCTCTGTGACCGCGGAGGGTGATGAACACGATGATGACATCTTATCTGCGGTGACGCAACAGGCACACACGGTGCTGCTTCGAAGCCGGAAGTCTTTTGACGACAATTCTGCAGTGCCTCCCAGCAGCAACACGACGGCATTGCCCTGCGGCGATGGGTCGGGTTCAAATAGACAGCGCGGCAGAGGGACGGGGTTTGCGCGTGTCCTCGTGCCACAGGAAAAGGCGATGTTGAAGGACTCTTGCACGGTAGTGTGGGAATCGAACGGTACTTGCCCTGAGAGTTTGTCGGTGGCGGCTGAGGAATCCGCCCGGCGATCTGGCATTGTATTGAACGCCACAGCCACCTCTGGGAACAGCACCGCGTGTCAAGATGAGCCAAAACATAGTCTGCGCCAGATGGAGGAGGCATACAAGCTCATTTTGAGGAAGCTACTGGCAGAGATAAGGCGACTGGATGCCCATACTGCGGCTCTATCCGCACAGTGTGAGGGTGAACGAGAGAACTTGAAGCGTGTGCAGCGTAACCACGAAAAAGAGCTTGTGGACAGTAACGCTTTAATCGGTGCACTAAGGCAGCAACTTGTAGGCATGTGCTCAGGTTGCGAGGGCGCATCGGCCGGTGGCGCACGCGTCAGCAGCGGCAGTGAATGGACGCTGGGAAATTACGGTACCCGGTACAGCCCAACTGTTTTGAACAGGTGGTCTACAAAAGGGAGTCGAAGTGGAAGTGGCGCTGGAACCACGAATGGTTTGCACCCGCACGATCGGCCTGTCGTTTCCAGTGAGTTATGTGGGATGAGCTCCTCTTTCACGGCGGAAACATTCTCTGGGCAACTGCCGCAACGAACATCTGAGGAAATTGATAGAGGAGGGAGTGGTGCTAGCCCAATGCGTCAGAGGGTCAGTGGCAATGATGTCACCTCGACGCGCCCACATTCTCTTACGGGGTTTCTGCAGCAGAGACTTTCTTCTTCGGGGACCGCTCGAGTGTCGGAGGAGGTAGCGACACAGACAAGCAACCCCACGATGCCCGCAACAGCAGCGACAGACTCTGGGCGATTGGTTGGCATCTCGGAGAATATGCCTGGGTGGAATTCGGCGTCTCCATTGGGGGACGTTGGCAGGAGCAACAGAGGCGATGCTGATCACCCGGTGCGATGCACCACATCGGAACCCACAGTGTGTCGCTTCCACGAGAACGACGGGAAGCGGGGTTTGCGTGTATTTACGGAGGCCAACCGGCGCGAAAAGCAACGAAATAGAAGGGGGAGGAGAGCGCCCGCAACTCATGCATCCCCAAGAAATCGTAGTCGTGTTTGGTGTTCGGACGAGGGGTTTCGTCAGCCGCCACGCGGTTGTAGTTTGTGTTGTCGTGAACACCGTGGCGCTGCAGCTCGTGCTGTGACTGCTGCAGGAAACTGCGGAATGAGCACTGCGGCTGGTGCGAAGGTTGACTGCGGCACAAAGGGGACGCGCTCTGCGAGTCGACTCTGCCCCCCGGTTCTCGCAAAGACACGACGAAATAATCGGAAGGAAGAAAAACACGAAACCCGTGAGATGCTGCGCGGGATAATAGATAAGAACACGGCGCTGGAGGGCCGTTTACAGATATTTCAGGAAAGGCTGGACGAACAAGAGATGGGGCTGCGAGACGTGATCGCTTTGCTCCGTGATTTCATGTTGACTCCCGCGGTGGAATCGCGGAAGTTTTGCCAGACCGCAGGTCCCCCTTAGCTTTTTTTTTGTGTGTGTTTTGGGAAGCTTTTTCTGCAGCCACCACACGTCTTTATGACGATAGAGAGAGGGAAAGTATGTGCGTGTGTGTGTGTGCCTGTGTGGAGGAAAGGAAAGGAGGGGGATGAGGAAACGAAGCTGACAATACCGTTAATTATTGCCCGTTTGATTGCCATTTGCATTTTAAGTTTAAATGCCTCACGAACGGGAAACAGTGATCGGTTGTGTTCAGATGAAAGCATAGAGGGAGGTGATGCCCCAAGCAAGAAGAGCACCGCGGCAGACCTGTGCATGGGGGTTGAATGCGGAGCAAACATGTGGTGCTTTTTTTGGCAGGTGTTAGATGCCGCACCTAAAAAGGGCTCGGGCTCACTTTTATGCCCTACAGATTGCCGGCCACGCACAAACGAAAAAAACAAAAAAAACAAAACGAAAAGTGTTTGCTCTGTTTTTGGTATTGTTGTTTTTCCATGCTGCCTCTTCCACATGGTGACGATTGTAAAGGGGGAGGGGAGTGCTCCGGAATATTGCAAGCGAAGGCCGGAAGCTGGAAAACATTTTAACATGTGTGGATGTGTGGAGGAGGAGGGCATCGGCAGTGCAGTCGGATAACAGCGCCGAGAATTACAACGCTTTGCGGAGTTAGCGAGTAACAAAGGCGCGAGTTTGGAACGCACTTGTCGATGCGCCACCAGCAGCGCCATGAAGCGGCCGCAATGATTCACCTGTTGATGACTTGCGTGCGAGTGGATGGGGGAGTAATTCCGAGGGCTGAAATTGTGGTTTTGGAGTGGCGGTCCTGTTGTTCTTTTGCAAGCTCTGTGGCTCTACGTCCCTTGCTGTGCGCAGCGATGCACTGGGGCTGGAGCCATCAATACCACCCGGCTCGGTGACAATTGGTCTATTCTTGCGCGATCTTGTAAGGGCTGAGCAGCCGACAACTCGTCATGGTCAGCGGGGATGTGTTTGCGTGTGCGTGGTGTGGGTAGCCGGAAAATCGATTTTTGGAATTCTTTCTCCCCACTTTTTTTTTTTTTTTTTTATTGTTTTCTTCTGGCGGTGGTGATGGGAGGGAGGGCGGAATAGCTGCCAGCGAGGCGAGTGCGAAGGGTGTAGGCAAAGTCATCAACAACAGAAATAACATAAAAACAACAGCAAAACAGAAAAAAAAGGAAAAAAGGAAAAAAAAAGGAGAGAGAGAGAGAGAGAGCATGCTTCGAAGACTGGGTGCGAATGCCGACAAGCTGGCGAGGCCGGTGAACAAGAATGCCGTGACGGTGTCCCGCCGCCACCTGGAGCCCATGAGCACATGGTATTTGGCCTCATGGACCATGGTGTGGTACTACGCCTTTTTCTTCTGGATGCCAATGGTGTGGACGGACCTGATGGTGCCGTCGTTCGTGTACAACAAACTTCCTGTCATTCATTTTCTACAGGAAAAGCGGGCAGAGCAGAAGCTGCGCCGTGTGCTTGATGAAACCTGCACGGAATGGACCGAAGAACTTGATCAGGCGCATATCACTGAGGCAATCACGCGATCATTCAATTTGTGAGACTGAAATAGTGAATAAATTGTGATCCTTTCTTTTGTTTTTTTTCGTTTTTCTTGTCATGATTGCTTTTGTCGGAGCGGATAAGAAAATTTGGTCGCACCTTTTGCGAATGGGGTGTTGATGGTGAAGGAATGAGTTTTAGCCACATATATATATCTAAATATATATTTACCTGGCTGTTTGTGTTTTGGTAGGGAATATGAAGTTTCTCGATATAAATGACGGTAGCTGCGGCAAAAGGGGTGGGTGGATGGAGGAGGGAAATTCATTAAGATCCCACGGCTGTGTTTTTACGTGCTGTTTTTTTTTTGTTCTCCCACTCAGCGCTGCATTTTTTCCCATCCTTTTTTTTTTAGTATTTTTTATTTTCTGGATAGCACGCTGCTGTTTTGCGTGAGGGGGAAATTTTTGCCCTTCTCTTTTTGTGTGCGTGGGGGAAAAATTGCATTGGGGAGGAGGAGGGTAGGCAATGAGCACACCTGCGGCATTCCTGTCGTCCCCTGCGTCCCTTCGCAGTCGCTGTGAGGAGATTCTGTGCGACCTCGTGGAAACACAGCAGGGGCTTGGGAGGGAATGGAAAAACGTCCAGCCATGCGTCCTACGCGCGTCGCAGCTGCTCTTGCAGCAGGCGCAGCAACAAGACGAGCGTTTGGAAAAGCTGGAGGATAAAATGAATCAGGTTCTGAGCGCCCTGGAGGTCATTGCGAACGACTGCCGGCTGAAGGAACAACGCTACCATATGGACCGTGGGACCACGGAGACGGCGCTGCAGGAGCTCCAGCACTCTAGCCAGCAGCTTCACGATGCTCTGGAGATGGAGCGCCGCGCAAACCAACAGTTTCACGAGGGGGTTCTGTACCCCGGTTTGGCGGATCTACAGCAACAGATTGATCGCATTTCGTCGGGTGTCCACCCATCTGTGCCCCCGTCGCAGCCACCACCACCACCACCACCACCTTTGCCGGCCGCAGTCGTTGAAGGTAAAATTGATATTGACCCCAAGAGCGGCGTTGAGGACTCCGCATTGAAGGAGATGGTTCGGGAAGTGAGACTTCTGCGCAATCAGTGGCAGCAGTTCCTGCAACAGTCGCGGTCCGCCATGCCAGTCTCGCGGCAGCTCGTCGAGAAGGGACCTCGCATGGATGTTACTACTCGGGCAAAAAGCGGAGGAGCTCTGCTCTCTATGATGTATCCGGGTGTGGACTGCAGTGTGGCGCGGTGGCATTGGCGCGGGGGTCACGTGTCATCGCCGATGCTCTCCCCAGATAGCCCTATCCCGTGGAGCACGTTGCATGTGCGCAAGACAACAACAGGGGAATGGCTGTCAGTTGGCGCAACCCCCGACGGCACGACTGTTCATTCCGAACTCAGCAAGGGGGCAGGGCTCCCATTTCTGTGGCGCCCGCAGCGTCCCTCTGTCATTGAGCTCATAAAAGGCGGCATCTATCGCGTGACGGTCTGTCTGCTAAGCAGTTGCAGTTGTCTTAGTAGTGCGAAGAGTCCCGGAGGAGGACGGCACGTTGTCACCTCCGCCCTGCCGTCTGTATCGCTTAGGGTCAATCAAAAGACCGTTTTCAGCTTTTTCTCCGGTGGGTCCACCCGGTACACGGTGCAGCGGGCAGCGGACACCAGTCGCCGAACTGCTTCTGCTCGCCCTACCAGTAATAACCGAACTGCCACGTCTTGCCAGGCGTGTGCATTTCCTCGTCGCTTGTGTGAGTGCGGTGAATCAGTCATATGCACAACATCGAACTTCGTGGATTTTCTTCGCCTGCCAGCGGGGCTGTGTGTCTCTGTTCACTGCCACGACTCACCTGACACGAACGCGACGCATGAGGCACTTTTGGAGGTGGAGCTGGTAGCCGGTTAACGAGATTCAAAAAACCTACTCACAATTTTTGACTCCCTGGCCGTTGAAGGGAACTGTTTGCGTGCATTTGCGTCGTATTTACTGCCTACACGATCTTCCCTTTTTTTCCACACAACGGCAACAGCAAGAAGCGAACGATAGAAAAAACAAACAAACAAACAACGATTCCCCGCTCTCCGCAGAAACGACAAGGAGACATGAAAAAACACGAAGTGGGGGTGGGAGGGTAATGTCATTGCTGTGATGGCGGCAAATCCGCGAATGTTTCTTTGTGTATGTCTATTTCCTTCTCTCTCTCTCTCTCTCGCTCTTTTTCCTTACACACACATACATATATATATATATATATATATATATTCTTTTTTTCCGCATTGCTTTTCTGTTCTTTCACGCTCTCCGCGTCATGGAACGTGAACTTCTGCCTGTCCCAGGGAAAACAGTAGGAAAAACAACAACTTAAGATACGATCCTTCTCACAGGGATAGAAATAGCACAAAATTCGATTACATTTAGCTGAAATGGGCCAGTCCAATTCATGGGCACTCGCCAGCGATACCATTAAGGGGGAACAGTACCGCGCCTACCACGCGGCTCGCCAGAATATCGTGCATCGTGCCTTTCAGAAATGTGTCGCACCTTCAAGCACGGAGGTAAGCGATTTTAACCTCACCAAGGATGAGCAGACTTGTGTGGAGGAGTTTGCGCTCCTTTACGCCGCATTTGCCAAGAATGGCTTTGCTCAGTTGAGTCAACTGTATGAGCAGCATCAGCGGGAAATGTATGAAAAGGCGCGGTTGGAAATGATGGCGCAGCAGGCACGAAAAGAATTGAAGCACTAAAAGCCGTTTTTTCTTTTCTTTTATTGTGTGTGTGTGTGTGTGTGTGTGCGTGGATGCCAGGCGAAAGTTACGACGGAACGTGCAATTGAGAGAAAAAAACAAAAACAAAACAAGGACGAGAGGTGGGCATCCTGAAGTGTGGTGGGGGGAATTTGTCACAGATAATAATCGGCTAACGCCGGGGCATTCTGCTCAGGATCCACTCTCAATTACACACTAAACCCGCTTAAGGAAATATACATAAATATCCTTCCATTGCAGTAAACAGGTAACGATTTCTGCTGTTTTTTTTTCTGTATTTTATTTTTGTATTGTTCTTTTTTCTTTTATTTTGTTTTTTGCGCTTGCGTGTGTGTCTTCATCTTTTCTTTCTCGTACCCGACGCCTGCGTCTTTGCCCGCTAGACTCATATAGAAGTGAGGAACGAGGGAGAAGGTTGCTTGCAGACGATCGGACGAGGTTGCAAGCTGGCATCTAAAATGGGAACTCTCGCACCGCCCTTTGCGGCGCCAGAGGCCGACGGCAGCGTTGTCAACAGGGAGGACACGAGCACGCCTCTCCCCGTGCTGCAAAACTCTACGGCGTGGGGGCCGCCGACGGTGCCAAGGACACCAGCGAAGCAGCGAAGAACTGTTCACGGAAACCGAAACGAGATGCGCTTTGCGAAGATCAGCAGCAGTCAGCGTGATCCACGGAGCGCTGTAAAGGATTTCTGCAGGGTCGTTACTTCGAGGAAAAGGCCATCCGCAGAGCTGTCGCAGTTCAGCGCATTGCAGTTGGATGACCCGGACAATTCCATGCCGCTTGTCTCACGGGAAGGAAGCAGCGAGGTGCCACGTCGTTGGGGAAGCCGCCCCACGGCGCCGCCTTTTTTTTCATCCGCTGCTGTGCTTTTCCCATCTCAAACTCTTTCCTCGCAGGGCGATTGGCTGCCGCGGCGCGGGCTAAGCGCCTCCGTCATCCCTGCCACACCAGAGGGATTGGACTACTCACAAGCCGACACCGAGTACTCCAATTTCTTTAACCAGCGTATTTTAACGGACTACCGGGAAATTAGAGATTTGGGCTGTGGCTCTTTCGGGAAGGTCACACTTTACGAGGAAACGAGCACAGGGGCCCTGGTGGCGGTGAAAATGTCACCGCCTTTGACGAATCCTGAGCAGCGTCAACGTTTTTTGCGGGAAAAGGCGATCTTGACTCTTGCTCGAGGCTTTCCCCACGTTGTGCAGCTTTCGGAAGCCTGGGAAGAGGGCCGCATCCCACAGATGTATCTTCAGCTGGAGTATTGCAAAGGCGGCTCTGTGGCTGAAATGGCGGATCTGCGGCGAAGGCGCGGGGAACGTTGGGAGGAGCGGGAGTTGTTGATATTCCTTGGGCAAATGGCTCTTGCGCTGGATGCGTTGCATAGCGCCAATATTGTACATCTGGACTTTAAGCCAGACAACGTGCTGATAGACGGGGAAGGAAATTACAAACTCAGCGACTTTGGCTGCAGCGTCACTCTCAACGACGAGGGCCGCCCACGGTGGTGTTTCATTCCAAGCAACCAAAGGACGAACAATGCGTCAACGATGGGGAACAGTAATAACATGATGGAATTCACTGCGTTGAGTATGCCGACTCAAGTTAGCACCATGAGTGTGGAAGAGGGGGACTGTCGGTATTTATGTGCCGACATGCTTAATCAAAAACGTTATCTTAAGGCAGGCGATATTTTTTCTTTTGGTATTTCAGTTTTTGAGCTCATGTCGGGGGAGCCGTTGCCGCAGCACGGGGCACCCTTCTTGGAGTTGCGCAGTGAACTGCCGATAGAAGTTCTCGAGCGTCGCGGCTACTCAAGGCCTCTGATTGACCTCGTAGCCATGCTGATGCATAAGGACCCAACCACACGGCCCACAGCGCGTGATGTTCTGCGCTTTTTTCAGCTTCCACCGCGCGTTCCGGAGCTGGTCAAAAGGTGGTCTACCGCAGTGGAAACGTGTGAGAACGAGGAGCCATCGGCATCGCTGGAGATGCGATTTGTGCATGCCGTACTTGAAGTTTCTTTGCGGCTGGTGGATCTTGCACGCCGGGCCATTGACGGGGCATCCTTGAACAACCAACACCACCACAACAGCGGTGATGGTGGTGGTGCAAACTGTGCCTTTGGCGGCGGTGCTGTCCGGCGACCTCGTATTGACGTTGAGGAGTCGTGCACGCCAAAGACGCCAGTGATCATCCGCAGGCTGGACGCTGGCTAAAATAAAATAGTCGTTAGACACTGGATGGATATTTCCAGTAAAAGAGGAAGCGAAATGTAAGGAGTGAATAGAAACGAAAACATAATAGAACAAGGTGGCGGGGAGAAGTGGTTTTTCATAGCTCCTTCTTTTTGACCCTAACCACCTATGCACAGGTACGCTTGATATTACTTTTCTTGTTGCTATCTGTGCCACGTATTGATCTGTATTACCGTTTTGGACTATATTGTTAGAATTGGCTTTGATGGCTACAAGTTTATTGTAGTGGTTTTATGATTATTTTTTAAAATTTTTCCTTTTTCTTCCAGTATAAATGTGTTCATGCACTGGCATTCATACCCATTTTAACGGTGCTGTGGCGTCACGCACCACACTGTGCGCAACTGTGTGTATGCCACTTTTTCTTTTTCTTGTTTTTTTTTTTTTTAGCATTGACACTTACCCAATACGAATAAAGGAAACTGCTCTTAGCAAGTGGGAGCAATGGAGAAGGAGGGGGGGAAGGAAGAGAAAGGCCCAGCGAAATGCCCTCCTGCGCAGAGTGTGGACTCCATGCAGAGAAAGAATCGTTCAACCTTTAGACCGGTGTTGCTTGAATTAGCGGGCTCACTGGACGACACGGTGTGCCAGGAGATCACACGACGCTTGCGGCAGTACCGCAACCGATATGCCCCCATTCTGAGACTGACAGCCACGCTGATGGCACCGGCAGTGCAGGAGGTGGAACTATTTGGCCATTGCGAAGGGGTTGATGTCACTGATGGGAGGGCCGCCAATGGCAAAAAGGGAATAGCCGAAGGAAAAGAAACGAATGGAGAAAGTGGCAGCGGTTCTATGGTGGCGAAGAGACTGAGAGGCGATTCACTCATCGCTGCCCCTTGTGCCGCCATCATGGCAGAAAGACGGATTGAGGTTGTAAGCCGTTTGCATGAAAACAATGATGGTATGAGTGCTGTAGAAAAGCTGGAGGCATTTATGGCCTATCAATTCCTCCCGTTGGCACTGACGCACAATTGCCATCCAAAGCTCTCACTCAGTGAAAAATCATTTATACTTCGTCATTATGTGCATGAGGCGACGCGTACGTCCTCTTTCCTTATTGCAGACCTTCAGGAAAAAACGGCAGCCATTATTGATCCACAGCTGGATATTTCCATGTATGAGGCAGATATTTCGGCGTTGCGGCTTCGACTTTGTGGTGTTGTGCTTTCGCATTGTTTTGTAGATGTCGTTATGGGGCATGCCGCACTGTTGACAAAACACCCGGAAGCAGTGCTTTTAAGCAGTACGCCATGGACGCAGGAAGTTGACGTACCCACAGAAGGGTGGCCGACATTGTCACTAAGCCCACGTCTGCAACTGCACTGTGTTCCCGTGCCCTCCTTTTCCCCTGAGTGCATGTTGGTTGAGCTGCACTATAACTCCACTCTGCTGGCACTCTTTACCGGCACCGTGATTGGCACCGATTCCGTCCCGCGCCATGAATTCTTTGCTGATTTTCCAGGACTCTCTCCAAAAAGTAACGTCTCGAGTTGCGAAGCGACAAGGACTGCGACCACAGTGGCGCAGCGCTTTCTGAAGGAACGTTTGTGGGACAGGTACTTTGCCCAGACCGGCGAGGGCAATAATGGGCAGACACTGGAACATGTGGTCATTTTTCCGTCTCACGGCGGATACAACAACGTGACGCATCAACTGGATCTCTATTGGGCACTTCATGTGGGTGATCTAAAGCGAATGAAGCATTCCCGAAAGATGCTGGGCAAATTGTTGGACCACGAGAGTTACGCCGCGTACGTTCAAGAGCGACCCCCACTTCCCAAAACACCGTTATTCTCACACGTAAGAGACTACAATTTGCTTTTGGCTCCTTCCGCATTTGGTGGAAGTGGAGCCAGACTTGTCTCACGGCATTCTTTACCGTCTTGTCCTCTTCCGAGATTCAATAGTGTTGCTTCTGCTGCTTCCTCTGCTATGACGCCCATTGTTCTGGACATTAGGGACACTACCGACCACCAGTTGGCGCATCTGAAAGGATCTGTGAATATTCCCATGAATTTTCCGGCCACTGCGTACGGCGTCAAAAAGGCAGAACTGTGGCTTCAATGTTTGCTGCAACCACTTCAACCCATCGTTGTGATATGCAGAAATGAGGAGGAGTTTCCGCTTGTACGGAAGCGGTTGGAGTTGTTATCCCCGGGTGCACCCATTGAAACCTACACGGCAAAGGAACTAGAATCCCCTTCTAGTTCTCTTTCTGCGGCTGGTGCGGAGGTGCGAGTCCAGGGGTTTATTATAACGAAGCCTCTTCCAGAATCCATTGTGTCGAGTTGTTTACCGCGCCAACTTGTGTGGGTTTCTGATTCTGCCGCATCTGCCTTTTTGCGAATTGATAACTATCAGCAGCTTCAGTACATTGAACCTTCTGAAGACACCTTGGTCCTCGACTGCCGCACTTCTTACGAGTTTAAAAACGGCTCACATAAACACAGCGTTCATATTCCCCTAGCAGAGTTGTGCCAGCTAACAGCTCTGGATACGATGTTATCATTATCTTTGTTAAACCGTACAAATAAACAGGAGACACCGGTGGTTGATTTTTATACTCCATCCCCACGCCTTGGCCAAAAAATTTTGGAGAAGTTACACGAGAGTTTTATGGCCGAAAATGCCAGACACCGTTTTTCTTTTCAGGGCATAAAAAATATTATTGTGTACTGTGCCAGCGGCTATCGCTCCATAATTGCCGGCTCGCTGCTGCGTCGGGCATTTGAAGCGGCCACAGTGCCGATTCAGGTGCGTGACGTGGTGGGGGGAGCGCTGCAGATTATGAAACAGCGGCCAGACCTCTGGACAGTCAAGGATCGCTCCATCATATGTGTCAGCTGACCTCGGTAGGCCCGTCGAGGGGAATAAAAAGAACGGATGCCAACAATGTTTTGTTGAGGACAGCAAAGGCATCTTTCTTTATTTTCCATTTTTTTTACTTGCGGGCTGAATCATTTTAAAGTCATTGTGCGAGCCTCTTATGAATCCCCCTTTTTTTGTTTTTGTTTTTAAATGAAGCTGACGGAAGAAACCCTTTGATGGTGTCCGCCAGCTGAATTTACACGTGGCGGTGCGTTGAGGTGCCTGCCACCTTCGGATGGTGCACGCATACGCCACCGTTCACAAGGAATTTGGGAGCTTCTGAGGAGAATGATCACGGGAGAGCTGGCTAACTAAATTAATATATAAATATAAATATATATATGTATGCACCCTGGTAAAGCGAATACACTTCTTTACGGCGCTTTTCTACCGTATGAAATTTTTTGGAAGGACACAACTATTAAGGGGGGGGATCAGGGAACCGATGGCGGCCAGGCATTTTTTTTGCCCTTTACTAATTTTACCATCCCGCCCACCCACTCTTTTTGAATCCCACCACGCGGCGGGGTGTTGTGGCTGGAGGACCCCAAACTCTGCCACTTCCTACGTAATAAATACATAAATATATGTATATAAAAACATACACTTATCTGGTGTTACACTTTGAGGGTAATGGTGAACCCCCACTCTTATTCCATTCACCTTTTTTTCTTATTCCTGTCTTGTCTGTTTTCTATTGTTGATGAACTCAGGATCCGGGTAGCGGTCCCGAGTATTGTTCTTTTTTTTTTTTTTGGTTGCGTGTGAGGCGCTGAGTATTCTTGAATCAGTACGGTGCTCTGGCGGAGAGTGAATCCGAAATGCAAATTTACCCTTATACACACGCAAGTATACCAAAGAAATATATATATATATAATTGGTAAGCCGATACCACAAGATGATGTCGCATTGGAGTGGAATGCAACACATTGACTGGCGTTATTTGCCAACGTCGAGTTTTAGGGATGACGCCGGGAGCAATTTTGCCTCATAGGCGATGCATCCCCGTTTATTGTGGTAAATCACAGCACGTCTTTCAGACGTTCATTAATAGAGTTTGCGATGTTTTTTTTTTTTTTTGCATGATTTTATTTTTATTTTTATTCTGCTTATTTGTCTTTTCAAGTTCTCCTTTTTTTTTTTTTTTTGTCTTGACAAACGGGCGAAAAAGGATGATGGAACTTCAAGCATTGATTCAGCTGGTGAGTGACTACCACCCCGGGGAAGAGAACTCGACGTCGCATTCGTCGCTTTTGAGTGCTGTGCAGCAACTTAAGGCGGCTCTGACGGACATTGAAAAGATTGGCGAAGGCATTCGTCCACTTGTAAGGGCACTTGTTACCGCGTCTGTGCATCTCCCAGAGGAGTGGGATGATATTCTAAAAGCCCTACGTGGTGTGCTCGCGAATACGGGTGTGCCGTGGCTGCATCGGGCCTTCTTACTTAAGACCCTCCCACGCATGCTCCTTGATGCACCAACGGACCGGTGGAGACAATACGGGGATGTTCTTTGCGAGGTGCTTGTACGCTCGTCTGTGCCCCCACCGGGTCTGGAGGAGGGCAATGCGCAGAACACACAGGACGAGGCATCACAGCATCCCAACCCGCAAGAACGGCGCGTGGCGTTGACGGCTCTTCTGAGCCTTCAAGAAGAGTGCGCTGCCGCGATTGTGGAAAGGCTGGTGGCGCAACTTCCTCAAGCACTGTCAACTTGTGTGGCAATTGTGTCGAGCCCTTCCGCTCAGGACGGGCTGAAAAAGGCTTTTGAGGCTTGGCTCTGCCGTCCAACTTCGTCAGCAGATGCATCCTGCGCGATGGAAATTGAAAAGGCATTGAAGGAGCATTTTCAGGGCTACGGTGGTCTAAAGTGCGAGCAGCTTTGCGCTGCGCTCATATCAAGCGAGCCGCTAAGAAGTCTCACTGAGATTGCTGCCTTGCAGAAGGACCTGTTGGCACTGGTGGAGGTGGATGTGTCGCATCGCAACATTGTCAGCAACCGGCTTTCTTTGGCGTTTCTACTGACGAAGGCTACTGAGGTATTGAACCTCGTGTACTCATCCGAGCAGAAATGCCTAGAGAAGGATGTGGAAGACTTTACTTTGCCGTTATCTGCCATTCAGTTGCTTGTACAGCTAACGGACACGGCATCTGTGACACCGGAGAGTTTGAGTATTCAAGAAATGCGAAGGCTTTCGGCGTGTCTCCTGGCAGTTAAAAATGCAGATGCTGCCCTGGATGCCTCTCTGCCGCTCATCGAGTGCACACTCCACTTTGTTCTTCGTGCACTGCCGTGCCTGTCAACAACAGATGGGGGCGTGAGACCTCTGCTGAATGATCTCCTTGGCGTCACAAGCACGTTGCTGCCCGTTGTGGAGGACGCTGTGCTGAAGATCCACTCCGCTGTTCCTCTTTTACGTGATCAGCAGCATGCCATTAATACCAAGGCAGTTGCAGATGAGGTGGAGGGCTCAGTGCAGACGGCACAAACCACATTTAGAGCACTGCGGGTGGCCCAAACGGTTGTGCAGTTGTGCCGTATTTTTAGGAAAAAAATACAAAACGATGGGGAGAAGCAGCGCGAGGGCGAATACCCACGTCATAATCTTGAGGAACTCGCTGCAGCGGTGCGCGGTATTACCCTGTCATGGAGAAGAGAGAAGAAAAAAATACAACGTTTACCGGTATTAACAAACCCACAGTCACGTCGGGTGATTGCGCACACTGCAGGAAACAAAAAAGAAACGCATCATTCATACAAACAACCACGCCATGTCGATGGGGGCGGCGTGCATCCCCCCTCACGGCGGCACCGCCGTGACACACCTCTGCTGTAGCGTTGCATTAAGCGGAGCGTAACGTATGAGGGCGTTTAAGGAAAGTAAATTATATATACATGCAGAGAGGCCTTTTTCTTTTTCACTTACACTCACACACACTCTTCATTCTATTCATTTTTAGGCCTGCGGGTTGGAACAGGAAAGAAGGCAAGGAAGGAAGGAGAACGGAGAAGGGGAAGGGGAAAAGAAAAACTGATGAGATTTACCAGATGGAGAAAAGAGAGTTGTTGTGCGAAGCCGCACCAGAAGAAAAACGGAGAAGAATAATATCCTTTTGTCCAACTCTTATTTTGAGAGCTACGCCTGACGCATAATGCTTCTACTCTACCGCTCTTTGTTTGCTTGGTTAGTCTGGGGGATTTTTTTTTTCCTTATTGCCTTGCTCGTTTGGTGCGGTAGGAAAGGAAAAGGGTGGGGAGAGGGCGCGTGGGAGGGGTGAAGCAAAACAGCAAGAACAAAAAGAAAGGGTGGATCTTAATTCAGGCAAGGACAAGGACAAAACAATCGAGTGGGGAATTGAGTAAGTGAGCAGTGGCCAAACGCGGAGAGTCTTTGCTGCATCCAAAGCCTTTTTTCTTGCGTTTCTCTTTCTAGCGCCCCTGGGTGGAAAGCCCACACACAAACACACACACACATATATATATATATATATATATATATACCTTTTCTTCTTTTCTTCACCTTCGCTCACGTACTACCATCACTTTTCTTCTGCTTGTACTTCCCAACTAACGGTTTTGCTTGTATATAAGATATACCCTTCGGTGAATTCAGGCAATGTGGCGACGGACGCGAGTCATACTGCAAGTTGTCTCGGCTGCCGTAAGTAAGGGAACGGCACAAAAAACCGAGATAACCGCCACCACCACCACAATTACCTCATCGGCAGAATCCAAAGCACGCTGCCGTGAGGCGCGGATGAGCTTGCAGGGGCTTCGCGTTGCAGCCTACTTTGAGAACTCTGAAACGGCTAGCACAGATGAGCCGATTGCTATAGGCCAAATAACAGCTCAGATTTCGGAATCGGTGTACGCCGTTTTTTTCAAGGAAATAGCCTTATCACCCGTCATCGAGGTTGGATCACGGGTGTACGTCACTTACGGTAAAGATACGGTTCTTGCCCTGGGATCTGCAAATCCACATCAGATCAGCCCTGTAACCTCTTTGAACACGGCGGAGGGGGCAGATAGAAATCCAGCAGCAAAAACAACAAGCACAGCATTAGAGTTAGACCGCGATACATTAAGGACGCAAGACGCAGCTTCCGCAGGTAAAACGCAAACCACAGTGGCATCAGAAGTGACCGCATCATCTGTTGCAACCAATGCTTCTGTGGAACTTGCCGCTGCCCGCCCTGCGAGCGCACAAGGCGCGGGGGCAATAATTGGCGGTCTGGTGGCCAAAGTCAATGGGAATGGTACCTTTGCAGTACTTTTGGATAATGACCGCTTTGATCCCGCCGTGCCACGTGAGATGATCACTCTGTCTGAAGGCCGTTCAAAGTTCATCTCGAACGAGAAGTTTCAGGAGGTGCTGGAGTGGGTCAAATCCGCTGGAGTGGACCGTCGCTCCGACCAGGAGAGCACCTCGTGCATCCTTTTTCACCGGGGCTGGAGAGCGGACAAGTTGTACCTGCTGGATGGCGCTGACGTGCACTGTCTCTCACACCTCAACAAGTCTGTGCGCATGAGCGTACTGGAGAAGTCGGAGTGGGAGCGTGACCAGCACCGGCAGAAGCGCGAGCAAATCAAGGAGCGCATGAAAGAGAAGGAGATGCGGTATGTCCTCACCAAGTACAGTGGCGTCTTCAGTGCCTGCGTGGCCGTACTGGGTGTCGTGTCTGTGTTCGGTTGGAATTTTAAAAATTACAAAAAGCAGCAGCGCTCCTATCAGTTGGCCATTGCGGCAAGTGCGCTCTCCCAACCGCACAGCAAACGGCCGATAAAAGACTATGTGCACCGCGAAGATGAGGAGCAGCGCCTGCGCCAGACCCTAAGACAGCAGGATCTTTCCCACCCGCGCATTCTCGTCTTTGCTGGGTTTTATGGCTGCGGAAAAAGCATTCTGTTTCGCTCTGCGATTCGCAAGGAAAAGATGGCGGCTGCCTTTGTTGACATTCGTCCAAACGAGGACCCTCTCCG